AACGGCAGTGTTGTGTTATACCGGCATGCGGAAGACTATCTGATTTGGAAGCTGGTTGCAGCGATCCACAGTTATCTATATCAAACTCCCAGACTCATGAATACATAACATATATACGACCTAAAAGTTTCTAAAGGCCAGGTAGTACAGAGCCAGCGAAACCTGTCCTCTGCAACATTCGTAAACTGCACGGCACTGAAGGATAAGACACGTTATTCCACCGTTAGCTTGTGAATCATAATGCTCTGAAACAGTACCTCGTGGCGCAGTGACATAAGCTGCTGACTGTCGGTGCAAGCCGCTGGTGGTCATGGATTGGAATCCTGATGGATCCGCTGGATGCGTAATACCGATGATGTGCAACATGCTGAAACTGCAATTTATTGCTTTTCCGGGCATATGGAATACCATGTGTTTTTAAAGCTGTCTTTAACGTACCTGTTTTGTTTATGGTTTTTTGTCACTACGAATTCCGCCCTTCGCATCTTTTCCCCTTTTCATCGCACAGAGCTGTTTCGTTTAGAGTGTGTGATATACTGCGTGAAGATTGAAGCTATAATAATCTGGAATATAGTCTGTCTAGCTGCAAATAGCACGCTAATTGCATCTATAGCCTATTTATCGACTTGTTTAAGGAAATCATGTTCCACCATTGAGCTGGTCTCAATGTGGTCCTGTATGCTATCATCTTGCAACCAACGGCCATGAAATCCCCTGAATCCTGCCGTTCATTTAGTGACAGATCACAAAACAACCAATAGCAACCCATTCTGTGTACTCATCTGTTATACTATCGGTTGGTTTGGTATTGGCCACTCAGCAAATAGTGTGCATATTTTAGGAGCGTTCGCGTTTCTTGAATGCAGCTTGACAGCGTTATGAACTAACTTGAGATAACAGTGAAGGAACATGACGTCACTTAGAAGGAATTTGGAAGCGGTATGGATGCAAATGACTGAGAAATGTTGCGGGAGGATATTAGACTGACATCTCGCTTTAAGATAGTGCATCCATCGTCTCCATCTGGAACCGCATACACAATGTCCGCAGCTTATGCCATTATGCATTAGGTGATGGTGATGAATGGTTATTATTTACAAGGTGAATGCGATGCCAGGAGGCTCATCCTGCACTACCTTGTAAATTACGAGCTGCGTACAGAACAGAGTTGGCCTCCAGAATCATGGTTTCTTATGTATTAGTTAGGCACGACACAACCGGAACCACCTAAGCGCACTCACTACCGACCGGATGTCGCAAATCTATAAAACCCTGCGATTTTATCCAGGTACCAAGCCTCACTGCCAATTTTGCTTGGCTCAACTATTGACGGTGATCTCGATTCGCAGTGGACGCAGATCAAGGCTGCTTTAGTTTCCACCAGTATCGACATCTTTGGAGTTGCCCGTCACCCACCGAAGCATTAGATTTCCGCCGTCTCCTTGTCGCTGATGGACAAACGCCACTTGATCCCATCGGCTTCCAGGCACAGTGAAGAACGTCAATCCCTTGGTCGAGAGTTGCGCAGGGGTCTGCAAATGGACCGCGAAGCTTGGTGGTGTGAACGTGCCAGGCAGATGGAGCTTGCTAGTCTCTCTGTTAATACCAGCAAACTTTTCCATCTCATTCGTGTCACCGAAGCTGTTTGATGTGGTATAAGTGAAACGATATGCGAAGAGGGTGGCACTTTAATCACCAATCTTCAACGACGGTTGGAGTGATGGGCCGAACATTTTGGCTTGCAGTTTTGTTGGACCCCAGCTCCATCTGCTACCGCTGGCGCTCGCGCTGGGCCGAGTGGTCTACCCCCACAGATCCCCCTCTTACCAGGAACTCGAGCAGGAGCTCCGGCACACGACGCGTTATAAAGCCCTCGGCCCTGATGGTCTTCCTCCAGCTCTATTTAAAGATGGTGGCGCATCGCTGGTTCGAGAACTCACCGCTTTGCTCTCGAAGGTTTGGTCGAAAGAGAAAGTTCCATCATCTTGGGGTGAATCGATAGTCGTCCCCATCTTCAAGAAGGGCCTGCGCACAAGCTGCTCTAACTACAGAGGCATAAGCTTAGCCTCCTTCGTTTGCAACCTGCTGGTGTCCATCATACTTCGCATGCTATCCTCAACGCGCGAATTGTTGCAACGAGAAGAACAAGTTGTGTTTCGCCCTGGTCGCGGCTGCATCGATCTTCACACTCCGTCAGATTCTCGAGCTCCGCCATGTGTATCAGAGGCCAACGATTGCTGTGTTCCTGGATATCCGTGCAGCCTTCGATTCTGTCGATCGTACGGTACTGTGGCACTGCATACTGAGGATTGATGTCCCCGAGAACTTCGTCTCCATACTGCGCGCTCTCTATAGTCTGACATCGGGCAGGGTTAGAGCTTATGGCAAGCTTTCGCCTACCTTTGTGGTCTCCAGTGAGGTTCGACACGGATGTCCTACCTCTCCGTTCCTATTCAACTTTGCCATTGAGGATGTCCGGAAGAACGCTCTAGACGGTTCGTTGAACGCTGGCGTTGAGCTCCTCCCAGGTAGTCGAGTTGTTGATTTGGATTATGCTGATGATATCGCCTTGTTGGGTGACGATCCACACGTCGTCCAACTTGCACTAAACCGCTTGGCGATTGAAGCATCAACGTATGGTATGTACTTTTCTCCATTCAAATGCAAGGCTCTCTTCCAAGACTGGCGGGTGTCTCTGTCTGCACTCACTCTTAGTGGTGAGGCACTAGAGGTTGTGGAGTGTTTTGTCTACTTGGGAAGTTGCATTACTGCTGGCTGGGCAGTTGGAGACGAGAATTCGTTGCACATGTCGAGAGCAGGCCTCGCTTTTTCTAGACTGAGGCACCTGTGGCGTCGCCACGGCATTCGTCTCTCCATCAAAGGGCGGGTCTATTGTGCAATTGTTCGTGCTGTACTGTTGTACGGATGCGAGACCTGGCCCATTCGTAAAGATGACTTGCGCAGGCTATCCGTCTTCGAGCACCGCTGTCTGCGGTCCATTGTCCGTGTGTGGTGGCAGCACGACGTAAGCAATGTGGAAGTTAGACAACGTGTCTTGAGATGTGGAAGCCACTCGCTCGAGGAGCTCGTCTCACTGCATCAACTGCGGTGGTTGGGATATGCATTGCGCATGCCTGTTCAGCGTTACGCGCATCGTGCGTTGTTTGCAGTTGCTGAAAATGGCTGGTAGGGACGTTCTTGTGGACAGCCTGCAACTTGTAGTAGGTGCATGAAAAGGCTGTCGAAACAGTTGGTCTCGGCCGATTGTTGTCTACTACCTGGTTTGGGTCCGAGGGATGCGGATATTTGCTGGTTGAAGTTCTTGGAAGCCATGCCTCATGATCAATGTCAATGGGGGCGTGTGCATTGGTATGTTGCGGTGTCCGTTCTTCTTTCCCCTAGAAAACCAAACTGAAAAAATTTCAAAATTGTTTATTGTAAACTAGACAAAAATGCTTTTGTTTGTTGTTCTTTTTTTATTATTCATACGGTTTTCCTATTCAGCCATGATTCCGATGGCACAATATCTGTACCACAGATTGTATATACATATATATTTATATTTATATAAGGACGAGGGTCTTACTTTGGGTTGCAATTGTAGAGGATGGATGTGCGTAACTGACGGGTCCCATAAACACGGAACAGGAGTTACAGCATTCCGGATGCGCAGTAACCTTGGTAACTTGGAAGCGATTGTGATGAACTTGTAAAGGGTATGGCAAAGGTCCGCACACAAAAAATACAGTCTCGCATATTTTACTTATTGTTGGAAAGCGGTACACTGCTCGTCCCGAAAGACAAATTCATCATGGTTTTTAAGCTATATCTCGCTATCAGTAGAAGTGATTTTTTAATATGAAAGATATACACAATTAATTAAGCTTGTCCTTCTATAGTTTGTTAATGCAGAGCGCTCGATGATGCGTATCACACAATATGTCATACGACAAACGAATCTACCGCATGAACGATAGCAAACGCATGACGAATCTGATCACTTTAATTTAGAACACTATACAGCTTAGTCACTTGCCATCTAGTCTAAAATGGGATACCGAGTCCCTTATCCACTTAAGGAATACAATAATAACGTTGTATATCTCACCAGGTTGGGCATTTTGATATTATTCGCATCTTGCGGTATAACACCTGGAATATCAAGTTAACATAGTGATAAGGCGTGCGATAACTGTTTATTGTGTCCAAATTACGGTTACAAGGGAAGGATAGATCAAGGGAACCTTTTATTTGTACAGTAAGAAGCTCCCCGTGTTCTAGCTATAACTGACACCATGAACGCTGCTGGCTGTGGGAACATAAAGGTGTAGCACATGGTGCGGTCGCGAGGTGGAGACTAACCGAGCCTCCGAGAAAAGTGAAGTACTGTATTCAAACAAAGGAGATCGGCATGCAGTTCAGTATTCCGCAACAATTGTCTAAGTATACAAGGAGATGGTGTTTTCATTCAGCATTTTATACAACGTACTGAGGCAAATCGAGGAATTTTCCAGACTGTCACCACTTGCGTGTCATCACACAGTTCCGACCTGTTTGCTAAGACCAAGAATGCCGTTTTCCAAGTCAGCCCTGTCACGACTACACAATAAAGAACATAAAATACGCCGCTTGACAGACATGCATAACCTTACACTGTGTTCGAAAACCAAGACTTTCGGCATGAGTTTCGACTTCTTACATATAATAAGGCCATCTCTAACCTTCTCAAAAATGTCAACTACACTCCAACCTACTGTGACTGCTGCCTGTCTATGGCGACCAGCCAAAAACATTCCCAGTATTTCTCATACGAGTAATACCCCTATGCATTAACCTATCTATGGCGACCACATGTTCAAGGCGAGTAATTTTTGTTGGTTTTTTGAGTGGTCGACATATGCAGGTTTGACTGTAGTAGTCTTTGAAATATTTGAGCATCCTCTAACATTAACTTCATTACTTATCATCTAATCTACCTTACGAAATACTTTTTCTTTCAGAAAGTTCCTTTGCAGATCAACTTCAGGGTCATACTGGTAAGTCACTGATGTCCATCCAATGACCCTATTGTCCTCCGGTTTGCCTGCTTCTTTAAGCTTGTTGTCTTGCAAACCATGGAGACTGTGGGCCACATACCAGCTTAACCTCTGCAAACAGATTGAAAAAAAGAGATTTAAGTCAAATCACTGCGCAGATAGGTCGAGTTCATATAACATCCGTGGAGACATGACCACAAAGAATTTGTTGCACCATTTATATTGAATTTGCCTGGACATGTTGCTTAACAACGAGCCTGCTGTGTAGGCTGTTGCACTTGTGCGGTAAAGAGGAGATACCGTCGATTAGATTCCCAGGCCCGTGTCTGATGCAGGACCATATAAGGCACAATTGTGCGCCATCCTAATTACAATGGAACGACGGTTAAATACGAGTAAAAAGCCAAGATTTGGAAAATCCCACCTGATGGTTGGCTTGAATTACATAAGTCCCAAAAAGTGAGAGTAAAGTGAAATGCGTATCGGTGGACTCACCATAATATCGACGTTAACGAACCTAATACCAGTGACTATCAAAGTTCTGTACCCTACGTTCACTTCAGAGTGCATTCAAGCGCATTAACCTTCAATCCTTGTCAAACGTGCTTCTTTCTCTCTCTGTCAGACTGCAAATGACCAGCTGGCTATGCTTTCGCACCCAATTTATCCGAGTATTGTTTTGACCTTCAGACGTCACAAAGCAGTCACTTATATCTTTGGTTCCTTTGTCTTTTCATACAGCGCTTTTTGAACGTCGTTACAGCCATTCGCGAAGAAATCGCCCCGGCCACCAAGAAACAGCGTCCGCTGGTGGAAACGAAGAGGAATGATACACCCATCTCTCTGATGGTCAGCCGCAAGACGACTCTATCCGACACAACGACACGTGACAACAAGCCTTCAAATGTAGGAAACTGGAGAATTCTGCCGCTTTTCAGTAGCCACAAGAAGGGAATTGATGACACCGATGGCGAATAGCCTGAGAACGAACGAAAGGAGACTAATCCAGCTTACCTTTCTGCTCCCATCACTAGGGTGTTTCATACCATGTGATTTCATCAATGTATATCGCGATGACCACCTAAATAATACAAATCACACGCCATCAAAAGCTAATTAAAATGGACAGTTCTGTGTCAACGGCAAATCCCTTTCCGTATCTGCAATGGGGGTTATGTCCAAATTAATTTTGGATTGGTTGGATCACGCGCGCCTTTTCATAAGTAGGAACCGCCAGGCAATAGCTGCCTGCAGATACGTCATAAACAATTTCAAATAAAGGTTCCAGACTGAGATCATTTTAAAAGTTCATTTGTCATTTCCGAGGAGATGGTTAATATCTGATCCCATGGACAAGAAACTGGCTAACATCCGGATGACATGTTGGTCATTGCGTCGGATGTGTGTGTGTGATTTTTGCACACCTGGCATTGTGAAAAGTTGTCACCACTTACATTGCAAATCCTGTTTTGCATTGGCGGTTTCGCCTTAACAATCTCGACTGCTTATATTCTGATCCTATAGGCTATCTGACCAAATCAGGTACCTAATATTCTGTTCATTGATAAAATTGCATGCAACAATGTCGGTATCCGTTTTTCAACTGCCTAGAAGTATGACATTTGATGTCACTGGCGTTGTCAATGTCACCAAGTTAGGAATGACAAACAGGGGACTGAGATGGAGAGTTTCTGTGCCACTCGCACGCTCCATGACGAACCGGCTTCGTGCTGAGGTGGAATCCTCAGTTAGAGATAGCTTAAGTTGAGATTGGAACCCGATACAAAGTGGTTAACCGCATACGATTTGGTAACTAAATCAAAGGTTTGCGAGCAGCGATTTTCAGAGTAGTTCTAAGCTTATCGTTGAGCTTGGAAGTACCAGCAGTGCGTTACAATCTTAAATGGGGTCACGTTTTTCTTTGAAAGAAACTGATTTTTCGGCACTGGGGCCGCATCTGAAGTGCAGAGGCGCGGTGTTTCTCTCTCCTAGCCCTGTACTCTACGACCAGATTCGTCTTTGTTGGAACTCTTCAGGCAAAGATCGTCGCTGAGAGTTGGATCCTGGATCCAGTCGTGGACGGCTGACGCCCTGATTTTTAAGCCAATTAGGTTATTGAGGATGACCACTACTATCACAGTGTCAAGCCTTCTGCAGTGCTTTATTTTCGGGACGTTAGGGAAGGGTGTAGAATGGTATTGTTATAGTACCGTACATTTAAAGTGCAGTTGTCAATGCAGGCGTGACTGACACGTGCAAGCGTAGCATCAAATAAAGTATCCGGTGACACAGCTTTGTATACCGGTAAAAGGCAAAACATCATCACTCCTGAACAGCACGGTTTCCGTCGACAGCGGTCAGGTACAACTAATGTACTTATTGCACGCAGTAGTTGGACCGAGGCAGCTGACGCTGGAGAAGGTGTTGATGTGCTCCACCTGGATTTTTCCAGGGCTTTCGATCGTTTAGACCATCGGAGACCATCCTTTAAGCTGGATCGCCAACTTTCTATTTTAAAGGCAATTAGTGGTCAGAGTTCGGAGCTCTTTATCGGACTCCATACAAGTCGAGTGTGGTGTGCCGCAAAGATCAGTTCTAGGTCCACGTTTGTTTTTGGTGTTTATTAATGACCTTGCACAGGAAATCGCCTCAAACTTCCTAATGTTTGCCGACGATATCAAGATCTGGCGCAGGATCCAGGCGAACGCCGACCAACATGTGCTCCAAAGTGACTTAGATACAGTGTATCAATGGTCGACCCAAAACTCATTGCATTTCAACGTCAGTAAATGCAAGGTGCTTTCCATCCGACATCAAAGCAGCTACTCATACCGACTCGGAACGGATGTACTGCAACAATCAACTCTAAAACGTGACTTGGGTGTCCTGGTTCAAGATGACTTGGGTCGCTCCAGGCAATCCGAAAAGACCTCGAAGACCGGAAACCAACACGTCGAGCTGTTGAGGCGGGCACTTGGACAAATAAACAGCTCCATATTTCGACAAATGCTCAGTGCGTATATTCGCCTCCATGTCGAATATGCAATTCAAGCCTGGCATCCATGGCTGAAACACGACTTTAATGCATTGGAGCAGCCTCAACGCCGAGCATCTAAGAACGTAATTGGAATGCGCAATTTTTCCTACCAGGATAGGCTGCGACGACTGGGATTGTTCAGTGGAAGCTACTGCAGATTACGAGGCGACCTGATTATGGCATACTTGATTCTGTGAGACCCACATCATGTGTGCCGCCCTTTACTGCAACTCAGCAGCAATACAAATCTGAGGGGCCAATCATTAAAACTCGCAGAACAATACAGTCGTCTGGAGTGCCGCAGAAATTTTTTTTCCATTCGTGTCTGTCACCCGTGGAATACTCTCCCAGAATCGGTCGTCTCTGCACCAACACTAACAGTATTTAAAAGACGGTTGGACGATGCACTCATCCACTTACACTTTGTTACTTAACACTATGTCTCCATCCTACATCTGGAGTTTACCATGGAATTATTTGTTGTTAACTGTGGGTGCTGTGAATCTAAGAGGATCGCAAGACTACAAGGAAACAAACGATAACTCCTTATTATCATATTTAAAGTATCATTTTTTACTATCCTTATTATCCTTATTGTTATGTTGATATCCCCACCAACTATCCAACGGGACTTGTAAAGCAACGCTTCTTAACCCGTATAAATTCGTTGTTCATTGTCTCTATACTAGTACACCATTGAGACGACACCAGCGCCAATATATCCTGTTCTGTTCGCACCGCATAGATTTGAAGCATAGTATTATTGATAGGAACGCGAAGTTCGTTTCCATTATTGTTCTCCATACTCTTCGCTGGGTTCCCAGAAGTTTAAAAAAGAACGGATGTACCCTTTCTGACCTCTGCTCTAACTTGAGTGTCAAAACATGGAACAGTGAACCATGAAAGTGTGTTTGTACAGTAGAGCAACCGTCGAACAAGGTATCACAGGTCAGAAAATAGGCAAAGTCAAATTCCGGCGCCAGATGTTGAGTGCGCACTCAAAGTTGCATATGAAAGCAGCGGTTCAAAGATGTTATAGGTTCGGTGAAGCAAGTGACAAGAATGATGTTTACATGCACAGAAATTATAGCTATTGGGATGGCTGGAGCACATTGTTCGTAATTACATATAGTCGTTGTTTGACAGTTGGGTAATTGTTTTTAGACTGCATTTTGCCCAGCCTACTGAGCACTGTATAGATGCAATTTGTGTGTACTCTCAGTACGACCGATTTCACTGCAGTGATAATAATAATAATAGTAATAATAATAATAATAACAATAGGTATATTTATCATCGAGTGAGAAGGTGCATCCATACGTGGCATAGGCCATGTATGTACAGGTAGTATTATACTCTTGCATGGACAATATAAAATTCTGTTCTTAAATTGGTTTGTGTTTATGGCAAAATGTGTGGTCGTAGTTAGCGAGCTAACAGCAATGACCCCAGGCCGACCTATTGCTTGCTCGTGCCCATAGATACAGATCGTTGCAAAGGAGTGGAGAACTGATCTGGACTGGCGAGAACAGAACTCAAGTACTTGCCACTAGAGGATCGATCGGATGAAATGGGCTAATTTGTGAGTGGCTCTAATTGATAGGGGGGATAAAATGAGCTTGTGTTTTTCTAAACTATTGAATGTCGATCGGGGCTCAGACTTATCTTCCTTTCACGGACGGCCTTTACGATATGGTGCCAGAGGTACTGCCATGCCAAACCCAGCTGGTCATTGCGGAGTAATCGCTGATCCCAATGCAAACCGTGCTAGAGATGAGAGAGAGCACATTGCCGGACAACTGGAGAATGTGGAAAGCGAAGTGGATGGAATTCTCTGGGTTGATCCATTTGGATGAATATCCAGGGTCATACCATTTGCCAATGTTCAGATGCTCAATAGGATGTGCAGCAAGGCGGATAATGGAGGCCTGGAATCTTTGTGACCATGAACCGGATCTTTCAGAAATAATCCAGCAACTTGAAGAACGCTGTGAAGGTCGATCGCAATCTTTTACTCATTGCCACCGTGCGACCAAGATTCGTTTAGTGAAATCTGAAAGCAATCAGGAGTCGCAAGAGCTTTTGCTAAATAACTTCGAAAAGCAGAAAGATCAGCATTGCATTTCTGAAATACCTCCTATTCAAGGGTGACTAGTACCGTTAAGACTTGATTCAAGAGCCACCGTGGATAGGCTGTCCGAGAAACACTGCATCGAAGTGGAGTGCAGTGTGACACAGAGTTGTCACAAACGACGGAACGACCTGATGTTAAACCCGAAAGGGAAAGATATAGAGAAGGTTGTCAAGAAAGCACAGAATCAACTTATCAAAGTCACAGAGATATATGAGGATCCCTGCCTCATAATACTTAAAGGAGGAAAAGCGCTTTCTACCGAGATGAGGAGATGTCTGATTCAGCGTTTTTTCAATCGCAGCCGAAGGACTTTGCCATCCGTAAATAAGGATCCACTGAAACCGGGGCTAACTGTGACTACTATTCCGATAGACCGCAAGGTCGCTCGCAATGGACGAAGATATGAGGGTAGAGCAATAATTTTCGGGTTAAGCAGCACATAGGTTAGGTGCAGGTGATCTGATAAGAATACGGTGAACTGTGATTTATTCTTAACATTGTTCAGTGGTTTCACGTCACTGCAGCAAAGCTCGTACGTCATAGGGTAGCTATACCCTGAGTGTAAGTCGATATGACTGGAGGATGATGATTTTCGATGACTACAAATGTGGTCTAAGGAAGCAGCAGTGTTGAGTGATTGCGTGATGAGTTTGGTGATGATGCGCCTTCAAGAAGCACCGTGTTGGAGTGGTTCGCGGAATTCAGGCGTGGCAGACAGTCCCTGAATTATGAGGCACGGTGTGGTCAACCTGTGAGACCACCACCGCGGACAACATTGCTGCTGTGCTAGCGATGTTGGGGGAGGACGCGCAAGTGACTGTGGTACAGCTGGGGAAAGCCATCTAGATTGTATCGGGATCAGCCCGCACCATCCTAAATGAGAACCACGGCCTCAGAAAGGTTGCTGGTGCCGTTCAGAAAAGTTTGCGCACGTTGGGTACCCCATAAGCTATGTGAGGACCAGAAAACAACTCGGGGGTGTTGATGCCACACCATGCTTCCCAGGTTTGATGGTGAACGTTCCAATGCTGTTTGGGAGATCCTCTGTGGTGATGAGACCTGGGTGTACAGTTTCGACCCAGAGACCAAGCAACAACTGGTTCAGTGAACGGCCTT